AAGACCTTTGTTTATTTGTTTTTTTTTTTTAATTCACCTTCTTGTCTGTCTTTGTCACTTAACCACTCACATTTGTTGCTCAGGGCTCCTTTTAGCTTGTTCTGCTGCTGCTCTCCTTGTATGTTTGCCCTGAACAAGAATGTGCGCAAGATGCTTAGAATATAAATCAATCATGGTATGTTGTTTCATGCTACTGGTCATATATCACAAGCCCACCTCCTTCTAATCCATGTGGTTCATCACCAGTGTGAGGACCTGCTGCACAAAGAGACAATGGGCTCTGAGCAGACGGCATGAACGTGACMAAGGCACACAACATCCCTTTTACCTCCTGGGTGAGATCATGCTTGTGTCTTGGAGGCCATTTGACCTTCTTTGTTTGGTTTGTGGTCACAGGGGATACAAGCAACTCCAGTATGATTTTGATGAACTAGGTTGTCACCTTTTATGTGTAGCTACCTGTGTGTGAAATAAAGAACTGAAAAGATTCTGACAATATGACTAAGTAAGATGGCCCTTTGGTGAACACACAAAAGTTGGCTTTTAGGTTCAAATGTCCAATGTTAGAGAAACATTTTTCAAAAACTATTTGCTATAAATTTACAAAAATAAAGTGATTGTACACAGATTTGTAAACTTTCTTGTCTTTATGGTTTTTAGTCAAATTATATAAGACAGTTCTGGCTTTAAATGTCAGTACAAGAGCAAAATAAGATACTCGGGTAAGAAAATGAAACACAAACATTGCATTCATCAATAATTMATCACCTTGATAGTCTTCATGGTGAAGTTAAATGATTGTTGATGATCAGCATTATTATGTTTTAACAGATTAAAAACATAAATAACCCAATACAGTTTTAAAATAAATCAGGCAGAAATGCAGAATACACTGTGTAGTTGCTCTGATAGAATAATCATTTGTTACAACTTCTGTTTTTTAATGATTATTAGTTTGGGACTTTTTATGGAAAATGACTAGTATTTTATGGCTCACATCATCATCCTTTGTTCGTGTTTATATACAGTATATTTACACACAAACATCCTTGTACTTGGATCAAACTGAGGACATTGTGTTGACTTCCATTCATTATTTGTACAGTAACTGCATTCATGACTAACCTAGGCATTTTCCTTAACACTAACTTTACTAGTCTATACCTAACCCTGACCTTAACCAAAAATTAATACACACCATAACTCTAAACCTAACCAACAGAGCGCAGTAGAGCTGCAAAATATGTGAGGACTGGAGAAATGTCATCCCTTTCCAAAAATGACCTCACTTGGTTGAAAACCTAACATGGTTCTCACTCTGTAGCAGAAACAAGTATACCCCCCCACACACACACACTTATTTACATTCATTACCAGCTACCTCAACATCAGCCCAGCTGTTTCCCAAACTCAGTGCCAATATACGACAGCACATGGGGCCAAGACAAACCAACATCTGACCGCAGAAATCCAACAGTAATAAGAGCACAGCCCATGTCTAATTTACAAGAAAAAAAAATAATGACTAAAAAAATATATGATAAGGGAAGAAATAAAATAAATACACTCAGGCTACAATTCACCATCCTGCACTAGTACAGTATTTATTAAAATGAGACATATAGAAATTAAATACAATTGCATGAATTTAAAAACTTTGAGGAAAATTTTGCAAATTGATTGAACAAACAAAAAAGTTAATTTTGGAACTAAATTGGACATCACCTAGAAAACTCATGTAACAAGTCAATAAAATGTTGGACCTAACATTCAGCCTTGAGGAACGTCAAAGTTGACTTTATACAGATATGGATATTGAACTAAAATGCAGTTCATTATCTGTAAAAAGTGACTGAGTTGTACTAAATTTGTGTTTGCTAAAGCTGATCAGGTCTGGTATCTAGYATAAATCAACCTATTTGACAATCACTTATGTCCAGTGATTGCTTTATATAAGATTAATAGTAAATCCTTATGATATATTAAATATATTTAACATATATGCACTTCGTGTATTATATCAACAGGATTACCTGCAGCATTTAATACTGAAGATTTAAACAGTCTTGCACAATCTTTTGGAACCTGGTGTTTCTGTGAGGCATGAGCTGAAAAGTWTGGATTCTGTAGGTACACCTAATGTTTGTTCACATACACAGAATAAGGGATCAGCTGTTTGAATGTGAAAACGCTTTAAAAATCGAATACAAATATTTAAAAAGGCTGTTCGACTGAAAGGTCGCTGTCCTTGGTGCTAATCTGAGAACATCTCCCTCCAGAGATTTGTACTTTTTTTATTCACGTCTTGCACACACACACACACACACACACACACACACACACACACACACACACACACACGGCTGGATTTCCACGCCTCTGGTTCTGTGCGCGCGCTACTGCTGTTGAAATATTCATTCGCAGCACCTCAAAGGCCCTTTTGCCTTCCAACCCACCTGTATGCTCCGCTACAGGGAGACTATGTGGGAATAACCACTAAGGATTAGCTCATGTTGACAAAATGTGGGAGGAATCCACTGCAGTTGGTTAATTTAACCACCTCCTTAAAAAAAGAAGAAGAATCAAAACAGATCTTGTGGACCTTGGATGTTAGAGGAAGTGGAATAAGAAAGGAAAGCTTTCCGCAGCTCAGACATTGACGCCAATTGGCTCAGAKGAAATCACCCACAGAGCCCGTGCGTGTTTTGTGTGCGCGCGCACACTCTAACGATTGCGCCGAAAGTCCCCCGCTTTGAAATGCGCGTCGGGATTCCACAAAAATAAACCGCAACAGGCAGGTGAGCTCCTCCGGAGCACCACAAGAGTCAACAGGCTGCACCGGTTTCCCAGCTGATMATTTTCGTCTCAGCTGAGGAATTCTCGGAGTTCACAGAGACCATTCGAGCCCAGAGACGGAACAAGCTTGTCGGYAGGATTCATCTTGCATGGAGGCACCGTTTTGGACCGTAAGACCGAAGCTGGGGGTATGAAAATCCCCCGGAGGCAAGGCTCGAAGCTTCTTTTTTTATGGCATCTCAATATCTCTGCTGTTTTAATGCGCAACGACACCGACCTGCCACTCTGAGAACCTCTCCAACCGGGGCGCAGCTGATGGAGACATCTCCCCATCTTTTCACCTCGGAACCAGTTTCTGATCTCGTCCACAACTATATTYCCTAAGTTGTTTTGTGAAAAAAGCTGAAGAATAAGGGGATAAAAAGAGACACAGAGATAGGAAGCGGGTGGGAGGACACGTGGTTTATCTCGAGGCGCACTTGTTCCAAGTGCGCGTCTGAGCCTTTTCCTCCTCTTCTTGTAACTATTTCACATTTCTTTTTGAAGAAAAAAAAATGTAAAAACGAGGGATAAGACAAGTGGAATTATTTTCAGCACGTGGATGATCTTGACAGGATTGTTGCCTTGGATTTGAGAGGAAGTTGGGGGAAAAAAGCATCGGAGAGGCAAGGAGCAGAGGACAAGATTTTCGAAAGTGGAGCTCCGATTTTCACGGATTACTGGGATTTTTTTTCTCATTCTCTCGAACACGAGTGAACGTGCTCTTCTTTGATGTCTGACAAGGTAAGAGAGCGCAACTCGTTGGGTTCTTTGAGTCTTCGTGTTGCTTTTGGTGTGGATGAGGTAAAGAGCGCAGGTGAAATTTCATCAGATGTGGTGCTGAAAAGACAAACTGCGATCACTATCATAACAATGCTTTTGTACGCGCACCATAAAGACATTGCCATAAAAACTACACTTTTGACAATTTTTAAAACTGTAAAATATTTTGGAAAAACAGCATTTCCCCGAATTAAAGCAACATGGTTGACTGTAGGATCATATGAAGATAATTTATCAACATTTTATGACTTTGAGTAAATTGTAGATATTTATAGTACTTTAAATATTAAAAGCAAAGTACAAACAGATCTCAATGAATGAAAAGCGCTGTTTAATTATCCAGATCGAGGTGGTCTATTTTCTGCACGTCTTTGGGTCAACAGGTCCAAAACCACGATTGTCTGGAGAATGTTATGAGGAAACATGAAGAAACGGATACCCAACTTTGTAATGGTGTAACAGGAAAATGTTTGTTTTAGGAAAACGTTGACTCCAGTGTCTGAGTTAACT